GTAAAGAATTGATGAAACATTTTAGGCTGAGACCTAAGTGAGGAAATGCAGGAAGGAATATTTTAGAAAATTAATGTGGGAATGATTTCAATGTGTCGAACAGTAAAATTGGAATGAAAGCTGAAAATCTTTGTATCCTAGAAAAATAAATGATTAAAAAGAAATCACAAATGTGGTAAGAATGTTGAAAAATGGTAATGCTTCAGGATTAATGAGGGTAAGCGGTGAAATGTCAAAATATAAATTATGGAGTATCTGTGACACGTTTTAGCAAATACGCAAAGACTGCATCTCTACCTGGCGTTTGGAAGAATGTCATTGCTGATCCCCCCCTAGACAATGGCCCTTTTATGATTTATGGAGTTCAACTCCCAGAATTCCTGAGCCGGCCATGCCAGCTCAGGAATTCTGGGAGTTGAAGTCCACAAGTAGTAAAGTGGCCATCGTTCACCACCTCTGCCCTATTCAAAGGAAAAGGTAGCAAGGTATGCAAAAGCTACAGGCCTATGTATCTATGTGAGATGCAACATTACCATTTTTATTGTTCCTTACTTATTATCTGTATTCTATGTAATACTGCTTACCCCTCAAAAAATACAGTGATAAGCATGTATGTAAGTTTATAACGACAAAATTCAGTACAGTATAAATAAAATGGGTAAATAGTAATGCATCAATGGCAAAAACAAAACAGTTGCTACATTTTATATGAAAAAATGTACTTTAATTAAATAAATCACAAGAATTGTCTCTTACCCAATCCAGTCTGAATAATGCAAAACAACTAAAGCTGGCTGGCAGAGCTGAATTTTATTTCATGAGGACAATGATGATTTTTTTTCAAAAATTAATCAAGGAAAGTTATAGGATTTGAAGTTTAGCTCCATAATTTTAGGATTCCCTTGTTACAATATTTGCTCAAACTGAAATGAAAGGCTATCTTGTGACATATCCATCAATATAAGGGGATGGGAAAGCCATCTAAGTGTTCCATATCACTATGTCTGGCACATCTATGCTGACTGCTAGAATACACTGTGGACTGATTTACTGGCACGAAGTAATAAGTAATTATGAATTCTACAGAAAATCTATGTATGCTGAAGCAAAATGAATGCAAAGTCTTCAGCTAATAGTCTTTTTGGCACTTAGCCTAAAAAAATATAATGGATCTAAGTAGCCATCAGAGGAAGATCATGTTTCAAGATCTCAACCTTTGAGTTTGCCAATTGGAAATTTTGCAACTTGCCTATCCATACAATTTAATTGATGTACAGACTAAAAATGAGAAATGTAACACTTGTTAAACCAAAATCAACCCACCATTCATAATATCTGCATCACAGAATAGCAGATGTATCATCATCAATAACCACCATCACCACTAGGTGATATCTACTTACCTGCACATATCTGATCCTGGGAGGTACTGAGAAAACCTTGAATGAAGAAGAGGAATTAATCGGAGGTCACACCACCTCTTTTCCCATCTAAGACCTGAAGATGTTGGCCATGAAGAACACGAAAGCGTATCCTGAAAACAGATTCCAAATATCTTTCATGTATTAATTTCTAATAAATATTTACAATTAATAAATATTTAGTCTGTTTCATTGTTCTTGCCCATGCATGGCCATTAGATTTTCCACTGAACTGAAGTATCATTAGATTTTGTCAACAGTTCTATAGAGTCAAACCTGTGTTTCATTGCACCCTATTGCAATTAAGTACACCCTAATAAATTAAATTCTAGCACTTTTTGCCACCACATAACTGATTGATAGTAAACAATTTTTACTATTTTAAAGCAGACTCCTAAGAATACTATGGATAGTCAAGAAAACAAACAAATGTATCATCACACAAATCATCCTAGAATTCTCACTTGAGGAACAAATGACCAGGTTCAAATTATTATACTTTGGACATATTGTGCAAAAATCTAGTCCTCAAGAGAAGGAACTAATACTGAGAAAGGTAGAAAGAAAGAGAAGATAACAACCAATAAGGTAGATGGACTCAGTTGCAGTAGTGATTTGAATGCACTATTGGAAGACATGAAAGACCAAATTAGGGACATGATGGAGAAATCTATCTATATGGCTGTCAAGAGTCAACACCAAGAATCAATCAATATTTCATTCATTATGAATAAATAAATTGGTTGTTGAATATTTTAATGGAAGCAAAAACTCATTTTGGCCTAATCTCAGCATTCTCATAGTTTCAGATCATATCAAACACTTTGTTTTCAGCTCTAAGCTTAACTATATATAGTGGTGCTTAAAAGTTTGTGGATCCATTTAAATTTTCAATATTTCCACATAATCATTATCTAAAATTATCTGTTCCCCCAGACAAGTCCTAAAACTAGATAAAAATAGTTCAATAAGTTAAGAAAATCTATTTGTTTATTGGGAAAAGTTATCCAAAACTAATGTTTGTATGTGGCAAAAGCATGGGAACTTTTAGGATTATAATTAATTTGAAGGAAAATTAGGGTCAGGTGTTTCAATCAATGGGATGATAATCAGGTCTGAGTGTCAGAGGTCCTTCCTTATTTAAAGAAGAAAATTCTGAGTATTCACCATGAAAGAAACACATACACACACTGGCACACCCTCTAACTTCAATGTATTCTGGTGCTCAAAGGGGAAAAAATAGGATGTGTTGAGGCTCCAAAGACACAAAGTGTGAAAAAAATGCAAAGGCCCCAGGAAAAGCTACATTAGTGAATTGTTGTAGGGAAAAAAAAGTCAATATATTCCTGATTGAATCCATCTAGCCTATTTTAGAAACATGCTGAATACTAATGCTGTAAAGAATTTTTATTGCTGTTGTTTCTTGAGTCTCTGGGTCAGTCAGTACTATAATATATTAACCTTGAGAAAAAACATTGAAGATACCTCTCACAGTTTTAATCCTCCAGATCCCATCATCCACCAATTAGCATAGTTAAGGGAGAAGGCTTATTTATATTTGCTTTACAAATTATAGAGTTTCCTACTGTATATTAACCAACAGTAAAAACACTACTCATTATTTACTATTTTACTGAATACTTCCAGCACTGGGAAAAAAACATTTCCAATTTTATTTATATATTAAGCAACCCTCATTTTGATTCATGTAAAGTAAAATGTTAACATACTCTTAGATTGTGTTCATATTTCTTAATCAAAAACATTTTCAAGTTCTTGACAGTCTCGTAAATCATTCTCTTACCGTATTATTGGGATGATAGTTAAGATGTAAACCACTGTCACACAGAGGTGAGGATGTGCCACTACTTTGATCACTAGGAACACCTAATAAAAATATAATCTATTTAAATACATGTCTGAGTTATAAAGACTTTCTAGTCAAAACTGACATTTGTCTAGCAGGGTTAGAAGTCAGCAACAGATGAAGGAAGAGTATTTTCTGTTTTGTGGAGCATTGCAAAGTATTGTAATGATACTAATCTTTGGTGTGAGAATTTCATGTAAGACACTCATGTAACCTACTGCAACATTCATTGAGCTTTTAACCATTATTTTTTAAAAACAATAATTTACAACTATATGATGTTAGAAGGCCCAGTATTTTATCTGCTCACAAAATCGCTGATCTGCTAAATTTCCCCTCCCCCAAATAACCAACTGAGGAAAGTAAAATGCATTAAGAGCATGAAGTAACCATGTAAGTAATCATATATATCTACCCTGAGGACAACCTTTATTTGTTTTATATGTAAGACATATTTTGATTAGTATACTATCGTGTTATGTAATAAAAACTGAGTGGCTTTATTTGTAAAGAGCAGCAAAAATTGATTTAGTATGTAAGAACAACCAGAAGTAATGTGTTGTGTTAAATTTCATTCTTCTCTTGCCGGAAAATATTTGGAAATGTTGACATTCCATTTTAGATTAGTTATAATTAACCACAATGTCCCTATGCTGACAAAATGCGTTTCAAATAAAATCCAATTTATTGTTCTGATCAAAGATCAGTAATGTTAAAAGAACTTGAACAAGGAGAATAAAATTAAATTAGTATTATATAAATAAGATAGTAAAATTGATAAAATAAGTCCAGAGTGGAAATTTTATCACATTTGCACTAAATATTGCCACATTTTCAGCCACACATAATTTGGTTATAGCATAGCTGGAATCTGAATGAAGATTGGTATAACCTTCTTATAGCCTTCTTCTGTATGTGCATGTGTGTGTGTGTGTGTGTGTGTGTGTGTGTGTGTGTTTGGGAGAAGATACTAGCTAACTCAAACAAAATATGGTTAATTTTAACTAAGTTAAAATTAGTATGAAATTTAACACAGCATGTTAACTAGGTTTTGCTGATATTTGCCAACTTCAAACAACCCAACTTCAAACAACCCAAGACATGTATATACTACTGAAACTCTTATGACTTAGCTGGGACAAACAGTGCATCATAGGGCAACAATGTTTGAACCATGGTATTTCAAATGGGCTAACTTCAAAATGCTTCCAATATCCAGGACCCATGACTCCCATGGGATTGAAATTTGGCAAATGTTGATATTTTCAGTACTGCTGTGCTGCCACACCAATGCCCAGAGGTTCAGTAGATTGATCCGATCCTAACCTTCCATAGGCTGGTCTACCTCAGTGGAGGTAGACCAGTCCCTCCATAGGTGCCAGAGGGTGGTCAGCCATGGCCAAGCTGGCAGGGAAATCAGAAGTTGCTCCCACTCCCACTGGTTTTTTGTCCTTGGTCATGTTTCTCTGTTTAGCTATTATATTGCTTACCTTTCAAACAATGACCCAATGGGTCATGGGTTGTCTAGTAGGTTATAAAGTTGGCTTGCATGAGCAAACATAATTAAACTTAAACACAATTTGATATTAAATATATGCTAATTGGTTATTTAATTAGGTTCTACTGGGATATTGTTTAGATAAATGTATTAACCAATGTTAGCAATGCCTGTAAGTCTTTGAATGATATTCCAGTTACCCCCTCCAACCATCTTATCCATTTTTTTTATTTATCAAGAATATTTTTTCTAATCCACTATCCAGATATGCTAATAGGGATTTATAAGATTCTCAACTTGGATATGCTGTTTGGAGTGCTGTTATGTTTGGAATAAAATACTCAGTATTCTGGAGTTTATCCCAAACTAGGATAAAGGGGGCATTTTGCTTTACCCCATTGTTTCAAATGTTTCCTGATCCTATAATCTTTTCCCCAAGGCATGAAAATATGAAGCATGCATCTGTCAATAAAACAGCAGGCACTAATTTTCTGGATGATGTGCAACTAAATCACAGACTTAAGTCATGCTGTAGTTCTTTGTTTCTACTGGTTCACTCTGAGAGATGATGAAAAATCTTCAAGATAGCCTTCCTTGAGTGGAGAAGAACCAGTTCAACTTCCCTGTGAGTGCTGATCAAAATATATCCATAGCAATAACAATAGCACTTAGACATATATACTGCTTCATAGTGTTTTACAGCATTCTCAGCTGTTTACAGAGTCAGTATCCCAACAATCTGGGTCCTCATTTTACCGACCTTGGAAGGATGGAAGGCTGAGTCAACCTTGAGCCTGTCGAACTTGAACTCCTGGCAGTGGGAATACAGAGTTAGCCAGCAATACTGCATTCTAACCACTGTGCCACTAGGGCTCCCACTGCGACACCATAGCTCTTGCATATAAAGTGCAAGAACTCTAGACAAATGATAAAGTCTAACTGTCCTCACAGCAAGTTTTAATCACATGAGAAAACATCATACATTCCAAGCAAAGATTCCATTTCGTGTTGTAATAATGCATAAGTGATAGAGAAAAGTTCCTTCTGAAACCATAATATTTTCAGGAGAGAACAAAAAATCTACTGAGAATAGCTGAGACTGCATAGATGTCAAGCCTAGCAAAACAAGGCCAAAGACAGGATCATTTTTTAAATTGTTTGTTTATCCTGCTTTTCCAAAGAAAGGGCAATTAATAAATTTTGTACTGTGACAACTGACAAGTACCAATGACTATTGAAATCAGCCTTTAAAGTAGGATTGCAAACAGGGGTTCCTAAGAACAGCAGATTCTTATTTCAAAACCTTTTATATGCTTACATGCACAATCTTCATTAAGGGGCAGTTTCAGAAATGCAGGCGCTCTTTTGAGAAAGGACACAGTTAGGGTTACCTCTTCTCCAGCATTCCGAAGAACTTGGACCTGAGAAATAAATGAAAAGAACTGAAACAACATTCTTCCTGGCACAATATTGGGATTTAGCTTTCCTTTCATGCTTATTTAGCTGAAGAAGAAAATTATAAAGTATTTGAATGACATCTTTGCTATCTTTAGATTTTCTTTTGAATTCTTCAATGAAATTTTTTTTAAAGCATTTGTCCAACCTAAATTTCTGCTTGATCAAAGATATCCCACCCTTCATTGCATAGAGATTTGAACTACTGTAGGTAATTTGGAAAGAATGTGATTTAAAAAATGGAGTTCATATCAACACAACTCCGTAAGATCTACAGAAAGCTAGATCCTGGAATTGTCACCAAGCAAAATAAAAATCTTTTCTGCAAAACCTCAAATCTGAGACACCAAGACTCAAAACAAGAACAAAATCAGAGCATTTCAATCATTCAGGACCCTCCAAGCAGACCTCAAAGGGAGTGTTTTGGCAACACAGGACCTTTACAACACCACTGAATGAGAAATAGTTCAATTCGCATACTTTCAGGCAATCTCAGGTCTCAACAATGGGTTTTAACATATTATAATTGCTAAGTGGTATGTTACTTGTAGTTTGTCTCACATGTAATCCTGTATGTACACAACCAATCTATCCTCACTTTCCCTTTGCCCCCACCACTCCAATTTAGAATCCTATGCCAGTCTAGCTACGCTACTTCTGATGGTGTAAGCTGCAGCTCACAAAAACATATTTTATTAAAATGTGTTAGAAAAGATGCTATCAGATTCCTTCTGATTTTTTTTTGCCACTATGGATTAATGTGACTCTCCTGCAAAATTTACTGTATCCCACAGTAAATCAGTTCACTGTCATCTTCCTAGAGCATTTCAGAGGCTGTGGTTATAGCTCTCATTAATGTTCTCCCTCTTCTGTCACTGTCTCGTGTTACCTTGGGCCTGACCTTCTATGGTTTATCATTGTTTTCTTCTTCTTGCTGATTGCCTAACTTGCAAGATCCTTTTAGCTCATTTAATTTTTATTTTTTATGTGAGACTATGGCTATATTTTCCATTCACACAGTGGACAGTAGTTGCTTTACTACTCTCTACTTACTACTATTTGCAGCTACAGCATTCCTTTACAATTACATCAACAGATATTTGCATATCTAACCACACTGGAATAGTGACACACAGTATGAATTTCCGCTGTTTGATTGGAAGGGACTTAGTGAAAAGACAAACTGGCTGACAGCAGCTTTTAATGGTTGATAGGAAAGATAGATCAACTGGACATGTTTTATTTATGAATTAATTGCTACTTTTCTTTAAAACTAGGATACATTTCCGCTGCTGTTATATATTTCATTAACAATTACTTTTCATCATATATTTTACAACATTTAAACTTTGTTACAAAGAGTTTAATATATTTCTCCATAGCTCTCAACCAACCAAAATGCATTTTGGAAATAGATACATATATCTCCTATAAAATGTAAAATGAGAAGTTCATTTCTAATTAATGTTTTATCTAGTTTAGCTTCCCCCTCACAAATAACAGTTTAAAAGCCAAATTTTGTTCAGTTGATTAAGCTCACAATTTGAATGTTTTACAATACACATCACACTAAGGCAAAGAAAGCAATCTGTGATCTAGGTAGTTACTGCCTACACAAACTATTCAACACCAGATTTTCCCTTGTATTTTTCTGGGAAGTAGTAAATTAAAAACATGAGTCATTCATTATTATGAATGAAATAACCTTTGCAGTTGAGTGTCCATGACAAAAAGCAAAATATTGTTAGAGGCATACTGTGTATACTACCACACAGGGAAATGAAAGGATCAAGATTAATTAGCAATACAACTCCATAACACAGCATTCCATTCCACTCCATAACACAATAACCTGGAAGTGAAAATAAAAGATAAAAAATAAATAGAAAGTTCTGAATGTTGAAGATTTTTTGAATTCTCTCTCTCTCTCTCTCTCTCTCTCTCTCTCTCTCTCTCTCTCTCTCTCTCTCTCTCTCTCTCTCCCTCCCTCCCTCCCTCCCTCCCTCCCTCTCCCCTGTGTCTGCGTGTGTGGGTGTATCACATAGCAAGAAGAACTGTTGGCAGATAGACCAAGGCAGTCCTAGAATGGATCCCACTTGATAAAAAGCATCCACGAAAGAGACCTAAAACAATGGATCAACGACAACAGCATGTATTGCGGGCCCAAGTGACAAAAAGAAAGCTCAGGATCGCATTGGTTGGAAACATGAGGAAGAGGCTTTCATCCTGCAGTGGGTATACATTGGCTAAAATGATGATGATGGACCCCCCCTTGGCTAACACTGCAATTAGATATAATAATAATAATAATAATAATAATAATAATAATAATAATAATAATAATAATAATAATAATAATAATAATAATAATAATAATAATAATAATAATAATAATATAATAAAGTTGGGTGGCCTATAGTATACACCAATGGCAATGTCATTTTTTCTCCCTTTTATATTGACCCAAATGCATTCAAGACAGTTTTCGTCATTGTTGTGTTCTATTTCTATGGAGATATAGTTATTTCTTATATAGAGAGCAACTCCACCTCCTCTTTTATTTGATCTGTTTCTTTTAAATAATTTAAATCCCTCTAGCTGTGTGTTCCATTTGTGGGTTTCATCCCACCATGTTTCTGTAATGGCAACAATATCATATCTGCCCTCATTGACCTGAATTTCTAGTTCACCCTGTTTGCTGTTCATACTCTGTGCATNATGGATGCAAACCATCTCTTTTGTACATTTTGTCATGGGACCAACTACTGACATCATGACTAATATATCCAAAGCCTTCCCCTTTACACCACTCCTTTAGCCACATATTGAATTGTGCTATACGCTGGCCTTTTCCGTTTTGATCTTTATACACTGGTATAACCTCTGAAAAAGTTAGCCTACAGCCTATTTTGCTAAGCTCCTGCCCCAAGCTCTGGAAATCGTTCTGCACAGAGAGTACATCTTTTTGGGACAGATCGTTAGTGCCTTTACTTTCCAAGTTATCATGAACAAGACAGCAACTTTTATTTTCTCATTAGCTGGAAATACAGTGTCTCAAGGAGCATCTAGAATGAACTTAAATGTGCTCCCTAGTCTCATAGATGATCTTTGCATTCTAATGTTTCCTTCTAATAAATTTACTCTGCTTGTTTTGAAGCTGACGTTGACTTATAACCCTGGTTAAGTTTTTACTTGCTTTTTTTTTACTTGTTCCTTTGAAATCAGTACTTGTGCTTTCTGGGTCAAAGAATCTAATAACTGGCACTTTCACAAACAACCATACTGTACAGATTTTTCATCAGCTCAGAGACAGGGTGCAATATATCCCTATCTTAGACTAAACAACATCCTGACCATAAGTGAGAAATCATCATGACAGCTTTCATAGAACACACACAAACATATGCACACACTTCCTCAATCACAAGAAAAGATGGATGGTACCTATGGAAACATAAAATTGAAAAACTTAAGAGAATATATCCCTGGTCAGACAAAAGAAGCAAAAAATCACTATCATACTTTCCACCAGATAAATTCTTCAGAATAAAATAGATAAAAGTTATCTGGGATTCCCTGTAGAGAACAGAGGTCCTAGTTATGAAGCTGCTCTCAAACTATTGGAAATAGTTTTCTCATTCTTTGGACACTAGACTGAATATGAATACATTTAAAATATTTAATAAAGATGTCAACCATGAGTCTCAACAGTTATAATATAATACAGCCAAATATTGGTTATCACTGTTTTCAAAATGGGATTGCTTGGATTAACATGTATTAGTCAGCTTTACTTATAAGCCACTTCCTAAACTAATCTTGAAATTCAGTTTTGCAAATTCAAAAAGTTCTTATTGAGAAGTAACTTAATTGGTGAAACAAAAACCTTCTAGAACATCAATGAACTTTCCCCTCATCCCCAGCTTAGTTTTTCAAAACTTGACAATGACATAAACTCAAATCCTTTGACAGATCTTTTTCTGAAGTAATACTTCTAATAAATACTTGAAGCTATCTTGGTTTATAGTGGAAGCTGTTCGGCCTTTAGTATCTGTTGAGAAAGATACTTCTGTACTGCAGTAAAAAAAAATTAGTGTATCACTTGCAAACCATATGAAATTTGCTTTCCTGATTATTTAAATCAATCCACATCATGATACCTTTCATATACAGATGAATAATTGCGCTGCATTTGTGGTGCATGGATGGTAAGCCTCTTGAAAGTAGTTTTTGCTTCCTCTCATATACATTTTGCACATTTGTAAGCAGTTATATCAGCAACACATTGGATCTCATAAATTTATTTTTAGCTCCATTTCTATTAGGCAAAACACTAAAGATGAACTGTACTGCAGTTTAAAACATTTAATGCATATCAAGGAAAAACAACTATGACGTTGAAATACTTTCTACTAACTTGTACCTAGAGTGAAACTTATAATGTCATCTTTCAATCAACCTGTTTATTTACCCGAAAGAAGAATCACTTTTCTTTTGTATGTGCAGGATTAATCATAACTGGTAATATTTATAGATTATAATGCCCATGATCATGTTTAATAGAACAATGGGAGCTATAATTCAGAAACTACTGTAATCTGGAGATATGAGCATTATCCTGCATAGAGCACAGACTGACAAATAGATTTGCAGATTGACAAATAACTATAAAAACGCAAGCTATTAGATCAGCATTATAGTGTTATTTACAAAAGTCCTAAATGTAACTAGCATTTATTGTTCAAACCATTTGAAGATAAAGCAGAACATATCAAGACATTTGCATGGCACTTTGCACTCTTTGGATATTATAGTTTTTTTCTTAGAATTTATCTTTAATTTTGTCCCATTGCGGCTTTTATTTTACTTCCATTTCATATTCCTAATTAGAAAATATTCTTAGTAAAAGATACCCTTGACAGCACTTAATTAATATTCAGGCTATGATTTCTATTGGAGGCAGATAGAATCATTTCAGCTATCATTTTCCCCTAGACAAGAATCTACAGTTTCAGTAGTACAAAAATTGCTAGCATGATATTTGAAGTGCCATTGCAATAATTGATAAATGATTCCATAGACCAGCTCAAGTTGCTTTGATACTCTTTATATGCATTATGAGAGTAGTTCCAAAATTCTTCAGCAAGCATGGTCAGAAGTCAGGTTTAGGAGCTGCAGTCTCAGGATCTAGGTGTATCTGGAGTCTAGCATCTCAGAATATTTATCTACTTAACAATTTTATCAGAATAGTCATTAGTCTATGAGAGACTAAAAAATATCTCATTAACTATAAAAGGAAACATTACAAATGCCCAGGTAAACCCATATGTGTAAACTGTCTATAAATTCTAAATATGTTTTAAGTATTGTTTTCATTGAAACAATGCAAAAGTTCTCATCAATATAGAAATATTTCATGCTGAAATAGAATATATAACAAACAATGCTATGCACATCTTTCAGAACCATTTGGAACTATCTATAACTTTATTTATTTATTATTAAATCTATTTGCTGCCCATCTCACTATCTCAAGTGACTCTGGGCAGTGTACAATGCAGTAGCTTTAATTAACTTTACATTTTGCAGTCATGCTCAAATGTGTGTGTGTGTGTGTGTGTGTATTTGTGCATACACATGTGTGAGTGAACATATGGATGGATGGATGGATAACATTTCTACTATCTGCAGCATAATAATTAATAAATAATTAATAATGAATTAAGATACCTCAAAACAGAGTAACGTTATGCTCTTTTAATTGGCCTGAACAAAGGTTTTCAGAATTTTTTGAAAACTTAACCAAGATTTGAAAATTAATCTAAATACTTAAGAAGTCATCTGTCAACATTTATGCCATTTCCTACTACACTTATAATATAATAAGTGTACTTTAAAAACAGAATTTATGTTTCTTTAAATAGGGTATCTTCTCAGAGGACTCTAAATCCATGCTTGCTTCTTTCTGTTATCAAATAAAAGCTTTAGAAAAAGACAGAAGTAGATATAACAGAATAATAGAATAACAGAGTTGGAAGGGAACTTGGAAATCCTACCCCCTTCTCAGGCAAGAAACCCTATACCATTTTAGAAAAATGGTTGTTCAATCTCTTCTTAAAAACTTCCAGCATAGGAGCATCTACAACTTCTGGAGGCAAGTTGTTCCACTGATTAATTGTTCTATCAGGAAATTTCTCCTTAGTTCTAGGTTGCTTCTCTCTTTGATTGGTTTACATCTATTGCTTCTTGTCCTGCCTTCAAGTGTGTTGGAGAATAGGTTGACTCCCTCTTCTTTGTGGCAGCCCTTTAGATATTGGAACACTGCTATCATGTCACCCTAGTCCTTCTTTTCATCAAACTAAACATACCCAAATCTTGCAATCATTCATCACAAGTTTTTGCCTCCAGCAAAAATATGATTTTTGCATTTAAAAATGTAAACTATATATGGAGCCTTGAAGATTGGAAAAGGTGTCTTTTGAGAGGTTTTCAATAGATCTTCTCATGACTTTCTCCCAGGATAAGCAATCTTCACTTTATGGTTAACTTTAATTTTATTGGGGGAATGGGGAAAAAATGTGAAAGGGAAATTGAAACTTTGCTGGATACAAAAATATACTTTACATGCTGGTAAACTACATCCTAAACCTAATATTTAAAATAAAAATTATGGGATATTCCCCTAAAAACTTTCAAACTACTCTGGCTTTAAAAATAGCTTTTGCCAACTAATTAAAAATGGATTGTTCTATCATGAAAATCCATCAGGAATTTTGAAATTATTAAAATGAGATATTTAACAAGTTTTATAGTTAGTACTGAAAGAAAACTACAATATGGTACCAATTTACCAATATGATGCCAACTTACAATATGATACCAATATACCATGAAAAATATGTTCGGTTTAAAAAAATTGATGAAAACAGTATCTTGTTCTCATATCCAACAGCTATCACTTAAAATATACATATTAATAGAGTCAAACCTTTATTGATCAAGAAAATTAAAATAGAGAATAAAATTACATTCCTTGGGGATATCAAAATCTGTAAGCCATCAAACTGCTTTACATTAGAACTTTATTTTCTTCTCATGTACTCTTATTTAGATTCCTAAACTAGAATGCTCTTAAATTCTTACAAATTATATTTTAACAATTAACTCATTCCTCTACAGGGGAACAGGCAACGATAACCTATAGTTATCTGTATCTATAACATATGTTAAGTCACATATTGTTTGTCTCATAGAAGAAGGAAGATCTTATTTAATGACTCTCATATTACTGTTCTAAGATATAGGTAGTCCTCAGCCTACAACAGTTTCTTAACAACCATTCAGAGTTACAACAGACCCCCCCCAAAAAATCTATTTATGACTGGATTTTGAAATTATAATGGTTACACCCCCCCACACAACAGTGGTCATGTGATTGCATTTTGGATGTTTGGCAATCAGCTTACCTTTATAGCCGTTTTCAGCATTCCACAGTTGCATGACTACAATTTTTGACATTTTTTACCAATTTTTGGCATTTATTTCTGGTTTCCAACAAAAAAAACCCCTCCCACTGGACAAAATAGATTTGCTTAACAACCATGGTATTTGCTTAATAACTTCTGCAAAAAATGACAAAAATCAGCTCTTATCATGTGATGCCTCAACGTATAATTTAATGACTTACAATCATAATTCATATATAAGTTGAGGACTATCTGGAGTAATATATTCAAAGCAGTTGAATGAAAATAAATGTTTCACCGTACATTTTTTTTGAAAGATTGAAATGTTAGGTTGTAGATGTTTGTTTTAAAAGATTATTTCCCATAGTACTGCATATCATTATTAAATAATGGTTTTACTGAACAAATGAATCAGACATCAAAAGAAATGCTAAAGAAATATGCTGGGGAAAATCCTAAATCCTGGGACACTTGGCTACTGTACTGATTAGAGAAGTACCCCAAGCATCTACACAGGATACAGTCCATTTCAACTATATGGTAGGTGAACTCATGGTATTCTAGATGTGATAAAAGAAGGGTGAGTTAATAGAACTGAAGGCAATAGAATTGACTTTGTAACAAAATAACATACATATATCCGTGTTTGTGTGTGTGTGTTTGTGTGTGCATGCTTGTTTACATTCTTATACCAAACTGCTTTCTTTCTAAGAATTTAAATGAATATATATTAGAATGGATGAAAAAAATAACAATTTTCTCTCAATGGGTTCAGGAAAATTTAAAAACAGCTCAAGAATCTCAAACTTGAGTTTCTCAACCTGACTGATTCTCAACTTGAACCTCCTGAATACATTCTTAAATTCCTTGGTTATGAGCTCCCACCCCCCTATTTTTTAAAAAATAGCTAACTAAAATAGAGCCAAGCAGGCAATAAGACCTTAACAAGAACAAGTAATTTGACCTGAATCAGTAATTTGGTGGGATAAGAGAGACTTTAACATTTTATCTCCCATTATGTTACCAAACTAGACCAGATCTGGACTTCCATACCAACTATTTACATTGAAGTAAAGTTCCTACTGACACAAGTGAGAATTTTACTTCCAGTTCAAATAATAGTTATATTGAGATGCAAAAACAAAATCTTCACACCAAGCTTGTGATTTTATATGTATTTTATCTATAATAACTTATTGAAAACTGTGTATTCTTCATCTTGATTTTGTCTTGTCTCTCTGACCCTTTAATCGTGTATCTTCTGAAGATAAAGCATGAGGAAAGATATTTAATGTCCTTGTAAAACCTGAAGGTTTAAAATAACATCTAAAAAATCCTTCAAAATAAATTGCTATCTTGCAAGTGACACTTCATTTGTTTTATTAAAGCAAGACCTATATAAGAAAGAGTCTAGTTTTGTCTTACAATATTCCAAGCCTACATAAAGAGATTCTCAAACTAGGCAAAAGGAAGTAGTCTCAACTGTTACAGGTGACAGAAAAATGCCATTTTCCCACTCTTCCTAGAGGGTTGAAAATAAAATATGTTCAACAAAATATTTTCATTTCTATTTTTTTTAATGGGGGAGAACACACTGGCAAAAGTCAGTGTTTCCCCAAAACTTTGTGCATACAAAATACCTCCAGAAAAAAATTGAATCCTAATATAATATGAGTGATGTCACATCAATGAAGAAGGTACACTATCGAAATGTTATAATCATTTAACAACTTCAGAGTAAAATAGAGTTAAATTATGTGGGAGCATAATGAACAACTAATAAAAGTGTACATCAGTTTACATTAGGAAGTGGAATGGGTTATAAAAGGTTATAAAAGCTCACCACTTCTTCATGCCTGCATTTTCTTACGTTAATTCCATTAATCTGTTGAGGAAGAAATAATAATTTGAGGAAAGGGTCTTCGACTTTGCATGCAGGAAGAATAAATGTATAAGATCTGACTAAAAGAGAACTTGTTTACCTACCTGTAGAATTGCATCTCCTATGAACAGTAGGCCTGAGAGTTCCGCTGAAAGAAAGAAAAGAGGAGGGAGGGAGGGAGGGAGGGAGGGAAGGAAGGAAGGGCGTTTTTCATTTCAGCCTTCTCTATAATTTTCTACTAGCAGTATCAGTGAGGCAGTACAGAACAATAAAAAATAATTGAAAAATAAACTGCAGGTTTATACCATACCCAGAGTGCAGTGGTGGGATTCAGATATATGAACAACCGGTCTCTGTGTGGATGCCGCTTCTGGAAGTCCATTCTGGGCCGGGGCAACAAAAAATTAGCTACTGGTTCTGCTGAAGTGGTGCAAACCGGCTGAATCCCACCACTGCCAAAGTGCCTTAACTGATTTCTCTAAAAATTTGAAAGAAAAATCTTAGCATATGGGTTCACAAAGAAAAAAAGGGGACTGTCTCCAGTTATCTCTGTCCAACCTACAAATCTGCAAAGACTTCAAATGCTAAGGTGACCAATCGTCCTCCTTTAGGGAGGACAGTCCTTCTTTTGTAGTCATTTACATAATAACTAATAGGCATGTAAGCATAATTACAATATAAAATGTTATTGTTATATTTTTATTATGCATTTATCATATTAATTCATATTCTGTATTGTTGCAATGAATAAAATGTTTTATTTACGATATTATTTTCTTCAATTTATTTGTGTCCTCCTTCTCATTGTAAAAAAGTTGGTCACCTTACAAATGCCCCATATCCCAGCAATTAAATAATGTCTGATCTGATGGGATTCAGGTGTTCATCTAGTTCATTTCCAGGAGCTGGACCAGCATATTATACAGACGCAGGTTAATTTTATGAAGTACATGTTTGGCTCTGGATTGGTCTATGTTATTCTTTTACTGTTTTCTTTTTTGAATTCTACTGCTTTTAGTCCTTGTTAGTATTCTGAGTCACTTGGTGCATAGCGAATATTGAGCATATTGTGCTCACATTTGTAATGAAATTTCCCCATTCCCCCCCCCCAAAGAAACACACAGTTAATTTTATTAAACAAACTGAGTAACAGCTTACTTCGTTGTTCTTTGGAAATTTTGGAAACAACCACAGGAATATTATGCTCTGCTCCTCCCTATGAAATAAAGAGATCATACTTCACTGAGTCTACTGTTAACTTATAAACACTACATTTCTTTAGCTTTAGCTTCTTTCTTAAAAAATGTGAAATGAGTAAAATAACTCATCATTCTTTTTGCTAATGACCACATGAATGCAATCAGTCCTTTTGTCAAGGAGAAAAAAAATGCTGGCAATATCGTGATACATACATAAAAAAGAATAAATTATTGACAAAGAAATACAAATTCATTACATGTTTTCCCAGATTTCTCATAGTATTATGGCATCAAATCCACTTCATGAAAAGCAAATGGGCCTAATTCTCTGGTTACTTTTGATTTTCTGTTTTCCATTCTTACATGCACAAAGGTTAGTAAGAAAATGAAAAGAAAATCTGGCACAAAATAAAATAAGAATTCAAAGATAGTTAACAAATGACTGTTTCACATTGAGGGGTAAAAAAACAAATGAAAAGCAAATAAACTGAAGACACACTCTACTTTTTAAAAAGTCCATTGGTTTATGTTGCCAGGAAGGAAAGAAGGAAGAAGGCTTTGAAACTATAAATTAATTTATTTTTTAAACAGTCCTCTTTGGCTTTTCTACACCAAAATTCACTATTCAAGCATCAGAAGTTTTGGGGTTATTTTTTAAAAAAAATATTTGTATTTAAATATTTATTGGCTGTTTGAGATTTTTTAATGTGTAAAAATGAAACTATTCTGTGTGCATTTCATGCAACATGCAATCAAACCTACAATCAATATTCATGGGACTTTCTTTGTGTTAGAGATGTCTCTGAAAATGAACATTATTTACCTCTTTAGAAAAATAGATTTAGTGTTGGTACAGTTTGATTGAACCAATTTTGATAACACGGAATCTTAAAATGATAGTGTGAGTTAAGCGGAAGCTCAAAGCAACAATCAAGACAGCAATAAATGAACTGTTTCTAAATTTTAAAAAGGTAGATTTTGATGGAGGCCTTCAGAGAATGGGTCACTGAGGTAATTCTAAAGCCAGAAAGAAGTTAATGCATTTCTGGGGGTTGGGGAATGTTATTCAGAGGCATGAGAGGAAGAAGAAGGGAGAAGCTAATGAGATAAGCCCATTTGGTCATTGTCTTTGTACATTCGATGTGACATGAAAAGATCTGAAAACAGCTTCTCCCTACTTCTGATTATAGTAATGGTATAAATGCAGATACAACCTTATGGTTAAAGTACTGTCATCTGCATGAAGTAGCCTTATTATTACAATGTGAATTGGAACTCTGATGGTAAAAGCATTCATCCATACACAAAACTCTCTGCTGCAGAGAATTACCCTGAGTGCATGGAGACCAGCTCTTTGTGATGTCACCAGTGTGATTGTCTCACATGAAATGCAGACAAAAGAGAAGGAGTTGCTTGCCATTTCTTGATGTTGGATTAAACAAACAAAGGTAACCCCTAAAAAATAAGTCTTCAGAATCATGGCCAGTTCCAAAAAGTGACAAGGGTAAGACAAATCTTTTGCATCTCAGACCCTTAGCTTCCATTTTGAGATAGTCGGCTATTCATATCAAACATTTAGGTTTGAAAAATATAATAGGGGGAAATGATTAGAAGAACTCAAGAAGCAGAAACAAGGCAACTACAAAATTTAATTTCCTATTTTGCTAAAAACCATCAGTAAATATTGATGTTTTGACTGCAACTTTTTAGTAAAGAAAGATGAATATCAAAAGCATTTGAGAACAAACTGTTTATATATTTTCTATTTCAGGCTTTATGCAATTATTTTAGGGGACAATGCATTCATGATTTATATTTATCTCTCACTGCATGAAAGGACAGTAAAATGCAATTTTGGGCAGCACTCTATTTTATAACATTTATTTTTTTAATATAATAATGGAATAAGGGAATGCCCATTACCTTATATTTCAGTATGGTATTCTCAACATATTCTTCCATCTTATCATTGCTAAGATAATTGGATAATTTAACATATCTACTTATAGCAAAATTAATAATACCAAAATAACATTTTCAGTCTTGTTAGCAAACAAGTTTGGAATAATGCAGAATTGTAGATTTATTCATTGGCTGTAATGTGACAGTTATTTTAATTCATATTTTATTAATACCCATCTTAAGTGCCAATTAAGATCACAGTTTGAGTGACTATCTACAGCATTGTAAAAGTAAATAAACCTCTAATAAAAGCTTTCATGAAACAATGAATGGACAAAGAAGAATACAATACAATGGCAACCCACTGATCTTATTAAATATATTTCCTAAAAGATAAAATCCATGCTTGATACACACAGATGCAGACACACAAACATATATAGCAATAGGAAGAATATTGTACTACCTTTATACTTAATCCAAATCCTCCTACAGTTTGTCTTCTAATTGTTACAGTTCTTTCCTGAAAAAAAAATCAGATTTAAACATTTCCTTAAAAACAACCACAATCACACTGCATTGTCTCTTTTTGGCTTTGTGCTATATAACCATTCTGGAGTTTTGAATTTCAAATATGTCTTGTCACATACAATATTGCAAAACACATTTACCTAAAGTGCCAATCTGAATGACAAAACACAAATACAGGTAGTCCTCGGTTTAATGGCCACTTTTTTTTCAGTGACAGTTCGAAGTTATGACAGTGTGGTACTTGTGACTGGCCCTCAAAGTTCCAGCTATCCCAGCTTCTCTCATGTGATGGAGAGCCGGGTGCTTGGCAACCGGCTTACACTTATACGGTTGCAGTGAGTTTGTTCCCATAGGTTTCCACAGACATGTGACTGCCATTAGAAACCTTCCCTGCTAGTTTCCCACAAGCAAAGTCAATGGGGAAGCTAGCACAGAAGGTTGCGAATCATGTGGATAAGCTTCCTCTATACTGCAGCAGCCACTCTCAGTCCTGCCATACTTGCATCATGCCTCGCTGGCTCATCGTGCACTCTCATGTACTTTGCAGTAGCCACAAGTCCTGCCATGCTTGCACTATGCCAGCATCTTGCACCTTGCAGCAACCAACTGTATCTCACCCACATGTGACCCGCTGGGCTCTCCCTCACCCTACACATTGCAGCAGCCACCCCAAGCTTCACTATGCTTGTACTATACCACTTGGCCATTCTCATACCCTCCTGCAGGCAGCAGCAGCAGCCACTTACCTGCCCAGCAGCCTGTTTGTGAGCTGTCTGGGAGTTTTAATTTCTTACCAGCTTCCCACTGACTTTGCTTGTTGGAAGCAGCAGGAAATTGCCAGGAGATACCCCCTAAATGACCTCTGATCCTTGCTTAACAGCAGCAATGGGAAGCGCCAGAATTACCATCCCTAAGCAATGTGGTCACATAATGTCATGCTTTATTACTGCATCATTTAGCAATGGAAATTCCAGTTTCATTAACTGAGAACTACTGTAAGTGATATTTGTTTAAGTGATATTTATTTATTTTCTGGAATTCTAAGTGATTCAACTATAAAAGCATAACACAAAGATATATATGCAGTCATTTTTCAATATCTAAATCTCCGTGATTAGGCATTAGGTCTTCTCAAATGTTCCATTGACCAATATAAGGCAATCTGTTTTAAAATTAGCATTAAAGTCCATGAATAGCCTTGCTGCATTAGGCCAAAATCTGCATAAATTCAGCATTTTGTTTCTTATAGGAGCCAACCAGTTGTACACAGGAATAATTAACTTGAGGATTGGCCATTAATATTGATAGCTTTAATATTTTAACATTGTTCCCATGTAACAGGCATTTGTAGATAATTTGCCACTGTCCAAGTATAATACACTTCAAGACGATAGACTTGCACTTTGTGAATTTAGGTAATCCTCTTTAAAGTTATCCAAATTAATACCCATCACCACCGATTAATTATATTCTGTATGGAGAACAATGTAAAATGTCTTTTTAAAATCTTGCCAGCAGCTTCCTTGAATCACTTCTTTTCCTAACATTTTGAGAGATCTGTTCACTGTCTTCATAGTATCCATGGTATTATATAGCTTTGACCACTTCTACAATTTTCTGTTAAGAAACCCAAATGTTCTAGTCTTTCATAATGAGGGTTCAAGCTTCCTAAGCATTTTGTTTTCCTGTCCTGAATTTCTTCCACTTATATATCCTTTTTTCAAACAGAGCAACCAGATTGGTATCGGGGCAATGCAATGCTGGCAGTTCTATTTTCAGTCTGATTCTTAATAATCCTTAGCATGGATTTGCCTTTTTTGTACTTGTCATACATTTTAGATTGACCTCTCCACCATGATTCAAAAAGGATTTTTTTCACATCAGAATTATATTATTTTTCCTGGATAGTTAGAGACAAATATGAAGTGCATATATAAAGTCAAGATTTATACCCCAACATGTATCACTTTAGACTTATTTAAACAGAGTCATAGATAGTGTTATTTGGTTGACCATGCATCCAGTTAAAAGTCTTTCAAGAGCTCTTCACAGTCACTTTTTAGCTTTCACTCTATTGAATAATTTGGTATTTGGTAATGATCTGTGGCCAAATGGCAGGTGTTGTGTTGGCAACAAATATGAATAAAGGTGAATATTGTGTTTTTTTAGGATTCTATGCTAAAGAAAAGAAGGATCATAAAGAGATGTGACAAATTCAATATTTTGATTTGGCACAACAGCCTATTTCGTGATTTGTTTTGTTTGTTTTATTTTTTCAGACATTCGAAACTGAGTGTTTTCACCAATTTGTTCAAACAATAGTATGTCCCCCCCCCCAAAGGCCAGGATTTTTACACATCATTTACATTATAGCTCAACAGGGAAAAAAAGTTAAAGAAGAAATGAGGGAAAACTAGCTGAATTAATCATCTTCCTGCAAAAGGTTCCTTTGGAACCATCCCAACTACAGTGAGCTTTGCCTAATTTGTTTAGTTAGACTGACATTGTATATTTTATTTGGAATTCTTTATGTGCTGGTTCTTTTCTCCAGTTCTTATTATATCCCAATACATTTCTATCCAGAGTTTTATTTTAAGGAAATTTCTCCTTCAAACTTCCCCATGTTAAAAGCTACATGGTGGGAGTGCTATCCCTGATATTTCAAATTTGTTGTAATATTTATTTCTCGGTTTTGGATAAGGAAACCCAAAGCACCTTTTCTGATTTTCCTTAAGAGACTGGTCCTTTATGGAATGATGAAGAACTTTCCAGCCGGAATAGTGCCAGCCTATCTTTATTTTTATTTTATTTTATTTTAAAGCAAAAAACAAAACAAAACTGGGAAGCCATTGGAAGAGGTATCTTGGTAAAGTTTAAAATTATTCCTCCTACCTTGGACGTGTAAAAAAGCTTCAGAGGAAGAAAATCCTGGAGCTATTTCTCTGATAAAAATAGTAAATTCCATTATCTAATGGATATAAATTAGGTAATGAATTGCACATAATGTTAACCTGTACATAATGTTCAACAGAATATATCTAGTAGATGTTCTAGCTTATTAGAGAAAATTGTGGAACTTTTAATATGTAAAATCAGATATAATTTGATAAAAGGCTTTTATTGATATATTTCATAGGATAATTCATGAGAAGACATGAATTCTCTTTCTAAATTTTCCTCATTTATCTTTACTTGCTTAATCAACATTTTAATCTCAATCATCTAGTGCTATTCAATGCATTCTTAAGAAAATATTTTCCCTGACTTCTTAATCTTAAAGCAAAGTTATCCTATTACTCCATTTCATTCTTACAAAAGGTGCTTACAATGACTGCTTATTTTGAATGACACTATGCTAATAATATATTTTTATACTAACTATCTGCACTCATCAGATTGTGGGGGAACAATATAAAATTAAGAAGAAGTCATGGAACAAGATGTTAATCAGAACTGAAAATGGAAGCCAGAGGCAAGCCTGAAACCAAAGATCAAGAGATCTTATTCCAGAAGAAAGAAACAGGAAGTCTTCCTAATTTATCTCCCTGAGGGCTGTTTTTTTTAAAGACACAATATTCATTCTGAATTCCACAAATATCACTTCATTTGATATTTCTCTGTGGAAAAACAACTCTGAAAGTTCGAAATATATAACAGCTTTAATCTGGAAGCTACTATAAAGCATGGTACTTACTCCAGAATAAAATGGTTCACCAGACACACAGATGACATCTTGTTCTTGGATTGTCAAAATGTCTTTGGCTAAGTGCAGCCGCACTTTGAAAGGCTCCTGATTACCATCCTGTAGCAAACAAATCCCTGTCTTTGACTTTAAAATGCAGAAGAAAAAAAAGTTTTTAGTTGTCAAATTGTTTATGGACTATTTATTCTAAAGGGTCAAAAATAGTTTCCTTTAGTTTTTAATTGGAATATTCAGGAAAACCAATAAAATAAGGTATATCTCAAATGATCCTCAAATATACCCATTAAAATTACCCCAGTTATCAGAAGTAACTAAAAATATTGAAACATGCATGGCAAACATTACTAACAGAAGTTTGGAAACTCAGACATTAAGTAACATTTAAATATTGTATGTATCTGGACTTTCTACATGGATTATGGACTAAAACGTCTAAAATGTTATCATAAACTAAAAAGCTCTTTTGAAATAGCCGGGCTAATGTTTCAGTATCCTACATATGCATATAAAATACAACTTGCACATTACCTGATAGAGTACCAAACTGATACTTTTATGTTACAGTAACAACATTTGATTTATCTAATTAAAAATATTAGGATTACTCAACAACCAAGGCCTTAACTAGGATCACAGAAACACTAAAGGTTTCAGTCATGATAATTCTGTTTTATTATTATAATCCAGTAAATAACTCTTCAATGTACACAAACAAATTCAATACAATTGTTTTTCAGTCTGTAGCCTAGATTTGTGAATTTATAGATAAATTAAAATCAATCCACAGCTATTCTGGAAAGAGCAAGGTCACTATGGCTATTAGAAATGTTGTATAACCTACAACAGGTTATAGACTTTTTACTTCAAAACTTTTCTATCACTTTCCCCAAAAATAAGTTGACTAATTATCTTGATGATGTTTACTTTCCTTTCATTGGAATTTAAAGACATGTTAGATTTTCTGGATGGGCAATTTATATGTTTGGAGGGTGCAACGATCTCTGGCTTCATCTCTTTTTTCCTTTCTTGAATCTCTGAAGTAGTATTGACACATGGATAGTTATTCTAGTTCAGTTATTCCCAAAATCTTATTACCCAAGACAGAGATACCCAACATCTTACAACCTCTTTGGAGAGTTGCCAAGTGCATACACATCCAATTATGGAAATCCCATTGGAAACTAACTGTTTCTTGAAACAAGGAACACATTTTGTAAGCCTGTTAAGTAAATTCTATACTCTAGTACCCTTTCTCAACCAGACCAGCCTTCAGTTGTACTGGCTTTAAATACTAGGAAAAGTAGTCCAATACCACTGGAGGGCTGCTATGAAATATGCAGTCATTATGTTAGCCAATAAATATTATATATTAAGAATAAATATTAAATTTAATCAATTCCAGCAAGCTCATATCTGAGCATTGTGTGTAGACCTGGAATTAATGCCATGTTCACAATCTTAGAATTTTATGACTGACCATGTTTCTTCACACCCCTATCTCTAAATTTCTTGCTTCTTTGCATTTGAACTTCATGATAGCAGCATAGAGAATAAATACGGTTTTCAGGAGAAAGGAAAAACAGGAATGATGAAAAACAAATCCAGAGTGACATTTTAATTCTATTAATCTCCACCAAATAAGGTTAGCTGGATGGCACAAATGTGTTGAACAGTTCCTAATTCATTTGATGGTTTCCTGGGATAACATTTCTTGAAAAAAAAAGTATATAGTTATGTTGTGTTATTTGACTCTATATTCCTCTCCTGGCTAATTACCTTACAAAATCTCCTAAGAAGCTTGATGAAAAAAGCTAAGGGCAAGAATTAAATAACATCTAACTATACAGTAGGCCTAATTAAGCATCACAGTGAAATTAAAATAAGAGTGAGCAGTGGGGTGCACACAGGCAAAACTTATTCAGAATGAATAAGGAAATCAAGCATGAGAAAAGCAAAAATGAAACACATCCCAGCAAGCACACAAACACAATTCAGTGATATGAACCCCCTAGTATTATTTTACATTACAATAGTTGCAGCTATACAATACATCCTTAAACTATTATTCCAGTTTTGACTTTAAAAAGCAGTGATGTATATAAATTAGAGAGCTTTCAGCCTTTAGAATGAATAGAATTCTAATTTATTTCAGATCTACAATACTTCATGGTGATGTGATATATATTATCATGAAGTTTGACCTTGACATTTAATTATCAGTAGCATCAATTTCTGATCCCACTTTGGCTTTTCAAACATTGCAATACACACTACTTCAGAGATGTTTAGAAGAACACATCGAGGGCTTTTGTCTTTTTCACTTTTTATGGCAGCTTGCTAATTCAAAACTGTTTGCAATTATCTGAATAGTTTCTAATCATCTTATTCCATTCTTATTCAAATTTATCCATTATGCCACTTCCTTTTTTTTACATTCTCAAAGTAGAGAGATATGGAAGTTGTATTACATCATGCCCTCATGTATAAGGTTTTATGAGTTCTGTCCTTTATTGGAGACCAAAATGGATTTCTCTCTACACGTACCTCATACATAAGAGCATGACCTAATTTATTTATTTATTTATTTAATTACATTTATATCCCGCCCTTCTCCTTGCGGACTCTCTGGTCTGAGAGTTTAAGAAAAAAAAGTATGCTGTATAGAATATTTTAAAAGTGGCCTCTATATGTTTCTTCCACTAAAACCCCTGAGCTCCAGAGCCTAGAGATCATCTAAAACTAATGCACTGTATATAATCACATGAACAGAACAACTGACAAATGAGCCTCATATAAATTAAAGCTCATATTCTTTTGTTTTGGGTTAATGCTAATAAATTCATTATTATACTTAACACTTTTTTAATTTTCTAGCATTATTTATAATTAGTGCTTAATGATGCCAGAATATGGAAAATGAAGGAAGTGGAAGATTAGGAGATAAATGTAGAAAAAGCTAGGTAAATAAAATGAAAAATAAAGGCTTTGCATACCACATTCATAGTCCAATGGTCAGCATGGAATTAAAAGGATAAAAAGAATGCATGTGTAAATGTGTCCATGAACACATAAACAGTGTTTTATGGTTCATTGTTTTCTTATATATGCATGTTTATAACTGTACTTATGATATTAAGTGAAGTGTATCCCTATTAAAATCATCTTTACATTTGTGTGAAGCTTGGTTTTGTATACACAAAAACATTCAAAGAAAGGAAGAAGTCGCCTGTCCTTGCCCTGGCTGTGAAGCTGATGAAGTTTTGCTTTATCTTTAAATATGCAAACCTCCATTTAATAATTCATATAATCCACACAATATTTATCATGAGAATAAACAAGATAAAATAAGCACATATGTGCATACTTAAGTCAGAAAAAAATTGCACTACCTCTTCACATGCAGTCCTGAAATCCATGTGCTATGGCACCAAGAGATAATTGTCTAAAAGAAGGGAAAAAAGATATTTCATTACAGAAAAAAAATAAAAATAGCAAAGGAGAAAGATGCCCAAATTTGAGGTATCCCAATAGTTATTCATTAAATATTGTTCAATGCTAGCTAAATGTCTATTCTCAATCATCCAGGTCATGTTTGTCCCAAAGGTGTTTTTCAAAAGGCAACTGGACTTTCTTGGTTTTTTCCCTTGAAAACATTTCACTTCTCATCCAAGAAGTTCATCCAGAACTGAAGAAGCTTCTTGGATGAGAAGTGAAATGTTTTCAAGAAAAAAAACCAAGAAAATCCAATTGCCTTTTGAAAAGCACCTTTGGGCTAAGGCTAGCTAAAACTAGCTCCAAATGAATTTGCATAAGAAATATCATTCCACATTCTAATTTTCCTTATGAATGTGAGCTTATTCTACTTCAGTACAGTAATTTTTAACAATGTAAATGCCTAGAAAAAAATATGAAATATTAAGAAGAAACTGAATGGTATTAGAAAGAAAGAAAAAGAAAATGGAAATAATATTTTTGTATAACTGTATGCTGTGAGGAAATGGAAAATGTTCAAGGCAAAATAGTGCATATATTCCATGTAAATACTTAGTATAAAACAGTGATGTTTATGTTTATGGAAATGCCTGCCACATTATTTAATTTTGCAGACAGTTTTCATAGTCAAGAAACAGTGTGGGCATATAAAACCTTCAAACTTGGCTACCATGTATTGTTTGAATTGTTATTTTGTTTTGTTTTGTTTTATTGTTATTTTAATTGTTTTAACTGTTTGCTTATTGTATACCATCCAGAGTTACATTTATGAGATAGGTGGCTATATATATTTAATAAATAGAGATTACCATGAAATAAGTGTAAAAATGACAGCACCACCAGACATACAGTATTTATTGAGGACAATGTTCATATCATGAGATAAAGTGTGTAATTCAAATAGCTGAGACTATTCAAAGATTCTGTCCGGAAATGAATTAATCTGTAATGTTCCTTTGGTTGCAGGTTTCTGGAGCTGGACCCTGCTTTCTATATGAAACTTCACCAGATTTACAGGGAATTTCCTGTACTTTTCAGCCAATGACTTTAGTCTTTAGGGGACCAGGATCACTCCTATCAGCTTCCCATTCTAAACTGAAATTCACTATTACATTATTTAATATTTAATTAAAGATGAAAATAATGCAACTTTAAACAAAATCAAGCTAATAATACAAATTCATTATTATATTTCTGAGTATCAGTTTAACAAATATTGAAATAGTTTAATTATCAATCTTTTAACTTTCAAGCCCTATGCACTAAAGCATTTTGAGTAAAATACAATCACTTGGTAGAAAACTTGCTTCGGATCTAAAAACATCAAAAAAATGAATGAACAACAGATTACTGTATGAATGTGGTAGCTAAAACACAATATTTTGAAAATGGAATTTTAAAGCACAGTGCATCTTCCAAAGTCTACACATTTTGCAGACATTGTAATTATTTTGTATACAGATAAATGTAAAAAAAATTGAAGCTATGTTAGAAAAAAATAGAACAATACAAAATATTCATTTTTGTAGCATATTTTACTGATCTAAGTTCACTATACTACATTAAGAATATAAATGGCCATATTCCCTATTTAGCATAGTGTCACATAGTCACCATTTCCTACCTCCTTCCGATTCCCCAAATACTTTGCTTTTTGGAAGCTGGCAATGAAGGTCAGAAATAACGATCAGAAATTATGATGTTACTGCAGAATGCTGTGACATCTTAATTTTAAACTGGTCACCCAGTGTCAAGATTGTAATCACAGTTCAGCACTGTTTTATTAAAATGGTCACTGAACAAGTGATTGTTAAGCTGAACAACAACTGGTCCTTACAGTTGCAACTGTGGCAGCATACCAATGGTCATGTGATTACGATCTGGGCACTGGCTGACCAGCTTAAAATTATGATGTCACAGCATCTTGCAGTGACATCATAATTTCTGATTGCCATTTCTGACCTTCATTGCCAGCTTCCAAAAAGCAAAGTATTTGGGGAATCGCAAGGAGATAGGAAATGGTGACTATGTGACACCATGCTAAATAGCATTGCACAATTTGCTTAATAACAGCAATTAGAAGTGCAGGAACCACTGTGCAGCAGCACAGTCACATAATGCTGTGTTTTATGACCCTGTCACTTAGTAACCAAAATTACAACAGTTAAGTTGGACTACCTGTAATATTATTTTATTTGGTATCTTTATTACAGATTAAAGTATATTTTTGTCAGACAATAATGTTCACTAACTGAACTTACTTTAAAAAGGTCTTCATTATTATCTGTTAATTCTGTATACTGACAGGAAATAAAAGTTGGAAGACAGAATAATTCATCATCCTGAAAATAAAATTAAGTCATAATTCTGACCTTTAACTTTTCCAAATCCCCACTTTTAGAAAAAGAACTAAAAAAAACCAGGAGAAAAATTTCCAATATGACAAATAGATTTATACATTGCTATTTCAGTTTCATTTTCTTAGCTATCACTACTGTGTACAGATTCTATTTCTTCTAAGATGGAAAGCTCATTTTTATCCTCTTGGTAGACTTCCAGTTCAGAAAAACAAAATGTTTACTCAAATTGAATCAAACTTTTCTACTCAAATAAATCCTTTCTGGTGAGGAGTTATACTGTGATACTGTAGATAAAAAAAAATGTTACAAATTGTTAAGAAAACATTTGGGAGAACTAAAGGTCAGCAATATATGAGTACATTGTCTTGTGGCATTCATTATTCTAAAAGAAAATATTTCATTGGCAGGTTGTTTTTGGAAGTTCAATTTTTCAGAAATATGTGCCCAGTTCTTTCCATTTTGCAGAGAGATCTGAACACTGGAGGGGAAACATATTTTAGTGTAGAATATGTCTCTGTCTCTGTCTCTGTCTGTCTGTCTGTCTGTCTGTCTCTATCATCTATCTATCTATCTATCTATCTATCTATCTATCTATCTATCTATCTATCTATCTATCTATCTATCTCTATATCTCTATCTCTATATGATGTGGTTGGATTGCATAGTGAATAGAGGATCACCTTGAATGCAGGAGACTGGGGTTCAAATCCTGGCTGGTACATACTTACTATGGGGGTCCTTGGGCAAAGACTGCCTAATGTTTCAGCTGCCTACCTCAAAATATGACAGTGACATAAACTAGAAGAGTCCTGCTAGTTTAGACATTGCCCAGATTAAAAAGGTCCACATCAAATGTAGAGGTACTGGGACAATCTGATGAAAAATGGGTTAGTGGAACTAACTGTACATGGTAAAGACAAGAGAACCTGGAATTGTTGGACTACTAATACAACAGTACACCTAATGAAGGAGATATATGAAATGCATGAGGGAACTGTAGATGAACAGAAGACCTGAATCTACACTAATTAAGAAACAGCTAATTACACAACACTTCAACATAGTGAAAAGGAAACTGCTCTTACAACTTGAGATAGACCAACTACACATTGTATCCCATACTCAAGAAGACCCGGAAGAATAGCCAGATGTACAGTCAACCCCTGAAGATGGAACATTATTATTACCCTCTCCATTAGAGAGCACAGCTGCTGATATGAGGCATAAGATCTTGGATAAACTAATTACAATCAAGCCTTGAGACAGATTCCCAAGGCTCAATAGAGAATGGCCATCAGATAGTATGCTGAAAATGCCAACAGAGCCCTCACAACAACTATCACTATTGTGATAACTCCAACAAATGAACTGGTATATGCTACAGCTGCTTTAATACGAGAGATGCTTGGTTACACAATCAAGAAGAATAGCAGTATATACATGCCCTGGAAAATAAGACTAAAGGTTAAGATCCAGGCAACATAGAGAGAGGTTAGTCAACTGGTGGAAAGCAGAAGTGTGTGAAGATTGGGGATAAGACTTGGCTAAAAAAAATCAAGAACCTGACTCAAAGTGAAGTCCTGGAGGCTGCTAAACAAAGGTTCATAGCACTGACTACCAGGCCAAGGAGATACACTAGAGAAGCAGGGGGACAAGAAGATAAATGCTCCATTTCCAAAGAATCATCCCAAAGTGCACTCCCAACTATAGTGCAATAACACAGTAACAGTACAACCACCAACAGCAGAAACTGAACAGTATTGGAAGAACATTTGCAAGAAAGAGAAAATGAGTGCAGGATCTGAGAGCAGACCACAGAAATCTCCCAGAACAGGAACCAGTCACCATCACAGTAGCAGACATACAGAACCTGAAGAGCTGGACATCACCTGGCCCGTACATAATCCGGACCTACTGACTAACAGCAGCACAGATGAACCAACTGCTAGTAGCAGGCTCCCACCCAGACTGGCTAACACAAAGAAGGACAGTGCTGATCATAAAAGATGCTCATAAGGGAATCCCCACCATCCAACTACTGGTAATAACCTGCTTCCCCACCACATAGGAAGTCCTATCAGCACTAAAGCTGCCAAGTTACAAGAACATATGGGCCAGCACATGAACCCAACTCAGAAGTGCAACACCAAAGGCTCAGAACAATTATATCACCTTCCCAAAATATTGACCTATTTATTTCTTATATTTTTACCCATTTATTATTTTATAAAATCTATTTAAAATATACACTTGCATTTAGTATTCTGAGACATCAAGAGAAATAGCCAAAACCAACATGATACTTTTGTAGCCAGATAGCTATTGGATAAGCTATACTCTATGGCAATTTTACAATTATACCTCACATATTTTGATTATGCTTGGGTAGAGATTGTTCAGAAAAGCCGACATATTACATTTGTATAGCAACAGCTTTCAAAGCCAAGAATATAAAATTGGTTTGTGCAAAAATATTCACATTGAGGACATATTGCTGACTACTGGGGGTTAGTTGTGAAATAGTATTCACTGCAACTATCTCAGGTCAATTGTATCTGCTGTTT